TGCCCTTTTGTTTGAAAACAGTTTGAGGTTACTTTACAACACTTGAGATCCTTTCACTAACATGTTTTTAATAGCAAAAAAAGGATTTAGTAAAGCTATAGAATGAGTGATCAGTTCAACTGCTTGTGATCAGTAGTATGTTCTAGATGGACCTGGGGTTTTAGGACCGGGAGCCGTTGATGATTCTTAAGGGAGACTGCAAATGGTCACACTGACTCTTTTGTTTTCTTAAATAAATACATTCAGTATCTTGGCAAATGGATTCATTTCTTAGAGCTTTATCCTTATTTAACAGCTACACTTGAATATGCAAAGAATTCAATGTTCATTGAACTGAATTAAATTCAATTAGAAAATTGTTTGATTTGGTGTATAATATTAATCAAACTGTTGTGTTTTCATAAATTTCATTTGATTCTAGGACGTTTTTGAAAATCTGGGGCAAATGAGAGTAGTAGTTGGCAATCAGCTAAATAATTTCCATTGGAATTCCTGTTTGGATTTGCTTCTGGTACTCCTCTTCAAAAGGACTCCGTGTTATGTGTGTGTGTGTGTGTGTGTGTGTGAGGGAGAGAGAGAGAAAGAAAGAAACTCAGCACCTATTTAGAACATACCAGGCTAGAAGAGAGAAAGTATGTCCCCTGAAGCCCCATAGACCTGGGTCAAATCCTAGCATCCCTAGTCGTGTGATCTGAATCATGTCTCTGAGTCTCAGTTTCCTTTTTCTGTACAATAGTGCATTTATTTCACAGGGTTTTTGTGTAGTTACTTTGGGAAGAGAGAGAAATCCTTGTCTTCTTGGTAAGGTTTGCTCCAGGTTCATTAGAGACACTGAGTTATGTCAATGTCTAAGTCAGAGAATGGATGGTGAAGGGGTTTTGAAAATAGAGTCAAAACTTTCAAAATCTGATAAGAATATGGATTGGGATAAAGTCTGAGAATCATGCAATTTAAAGCAATACAATCTCCACTTAGAATGGCATGTATTATATGTTAATATGGATTTAAAAATTTTTTTAAATTTAAATTCAGTTAATTAACACAATTTCATATGAGTGCTATTGTGGAATTTCAAATTGGGGAACAATATCTCTATTTAGTGAATAACAAAGCAAACTTTGTGAAGGCATGTGTAGAATGTGATTGAGCAACTTAAATGTAATTGAAAATCTCCCCTTAATATTAGGGCTGGACAGTAGAAATAATCCAAAGAGATGATTTTACCGAAGAGATTATATTTAATCTAGTTGCTCTATCCTCACAATCTATGAACTCATTTAGATAATGGTCTTGCTGGTGGTGCTTGCATGTCCAAGTTAGAGCATTAGATATTCTTTGCAGAGTCAAATATAATGAGCTATCTGAAAAAAAAAAAAAGCCTTGTTTTTATTTTGGTGTAATATTAAGCAGAATGAGGTACTTTGTATCTAGGGTCTAAAGTTGAATACGTAAAATAAATGGACTTCAACAAAATGATTTTTTTTGTGCTATTGCAATGGGATGTAAGTATCAGATTTGTTTTTGGTAAGAATGGAATGATTCAAATTCATGACATTATCGTGTTCTCTGTAAATCTTATTTCTATTGAGTGACATAAAAACAGTAGTATTTCCATCTTAGAAATAGCTAGTATTTCCTAGCTGGTAGATTAATCTTGGGTTGCTGACATAACATATTTTAAAGCCCACATCCTTTTGGGGTGTACAGATGGAGGAAAGTCAGAATTAACTTGTACAACCGTGGCTTCATATTGACAAGAAGGATCAGTGGGTTCAGATAATTTTCCAGCAGAAAAATCAGGCAAGTCATTTCCTCAGTGTCTTTTGAAATGATGTTTTATGGAGATTTTTCTAGTGAGATGCAGCCCTTGGATTGCTTTTGAATAAACAGTCTAGAAATACGAGTAGTGATTTGTTAGCTTGTTAAAGAAAATTTTATTTTGAGTGGTAAAGGCTGTCCTATTGAACTCCCAGACATTCTGAGGCTTTTTAATCATTAGCTGTTGGTGATTCTTCATCTTTCTTTTTTTTTTTAAATCACAATCCTCTGAAAAAATTGATAATTATTTCCCAGAAAAATTCAGGTCTGCAAATACTTGCAAAATCTTCCAAATCATGTTTTGAGGATTTACAGACTCCCAAGTCCCATTTCAGTAGATGTTGGGAGACTCAGAAGGGCAGAATAGGGGCAGAGAAATCGGTGTTGGTTCAAAACTTAAATTCTACCAGACATTTCCATTCTGTCAACATGTGTTTATTGAACACCTACTATGTTTCAAGGCATCCAGCAGTGAACAAGGCAGAGAAAGACCTTGAGCTCACAAAGTTTATATTCCGGAGGATGTTGATTGTTAAGGTGAAACACGGTGGTCTTGACCCTCAGAATTAACTCTCGCTGGTACTTGTACATTTCAGGAGCCCCCTTTCTTCAGAAACTGGAGATGATTCTGATTAATTGACCTGACAGTGCATGGTACATCATATTTACTTGGGAGGATTTAATAACCTTAGAGACTCCCAGAGGAAACATGAAAATTTCCACATACTATTATCCTAATGGGATCATAGTAAGAGAAAGTGCAAGCAAAGATTTAAGGTTCTCACAGGCAGAGGAAGCTTTTGGTCAGTCCTTAAATACTGTTGGGTTTTTTACCTGAATTCACAGAAGACGGAAAAGTCAGGGCAATAGAAACTGAAAGCAGGGTAGGGAAACATTTTATGGCGATTTATTGTCTTAGGGGAATGAATCATCTGTTTCTTGAGAAGTATATTATTTATAATTTAAAAATATGTATGTGGAACCATTGTTTTGATAAGTTACAGCAGGAAGTATTTTATGTACTTTGGAATTTGGGGAGAGAAAATAATAATCTGGAATATTCTATAGAGGTGGTTCTCAAAGGGTCATTTAGGACCAGCAAAGTTGGCATCCACCATCCCCAAAAACAGAAACTGTGGGGGTCGGGGGAGCAGCAGTCTGTATTTTAATAAGCTTTTCAGGTGGTTCTGATGCTCCCAAAGTTCAAGATCCACTGCTATACAATGATGCACAAATTATTGCTTTTTTAATTTGACTCACATTTATCAAACATAAACACGTATAAGTTGTATTGGGAGCTTTTGAAGTTTATAATGCAATGCACATTTCTTAGCATGTTAATTCTCCTTTAAAATATTCCCGTACCTAAAGCAAGTCTAGTTTTATTTTTTTAAGTATCCTAAAATAAGATTTATATCAAATTAGACCATTTTATATCAAATTAGACAACATAATTGAAACACCAAGTGTAATGGCTAACATATAGTAGATGCACTATATATTACAGTTCCCTTTTGCTTTTATCTACAAGCACTTGTTTTTCTTTAATTTATCATAGAGAATATTAATTCGATCTCTTAATTTTATAGTTTGAAGGTGAATAAATTGTAAAAGTATTAAATATTAAAAAAACTTAAAATTCTATGGGTTATTTTGGATGTACACCCCTTTGGGCGGCTTATAATATTCTGAAGTCTAATGGAATTTTAGATTTCTGTAGGGCAGAGTTGAGTTTGAGTTTAAGATAAAAGAGAATGAGTGGTGTAGGAAATACTGCATTTTGACATTGCTTCTGGCACCACCTGGATTTCCCCAGGCCCTACAGCCTGAGAGTGCAAAGGAGTTGCCTTGACAATGAAATTAATAATCTACAATTTTCTGGATTTCCTTCCCCATTTGCTAACAGCACATTTCAGCCCCCTCCCCAGAGGATCCCCCAGTTATTTGGGGGAGTTTTCAGAGTGTATTTGGATATGCTCAGGAGCATGGCTGCCCTGGCTCCTGAGTTCTGCTCAGAGTAGGTGCCTGAGAACCCTCTGATGGCCCTCTGCTACTGCCCTGATGTCCAGGGCCTCTGGGAGAGGGCTGCTTTCCTGTCCAGAGCCCTGTGTCTGCTGTGCCCTCAAACCTCAGAACCTTCTGTAGGTTGACAGGTGCTTAGTTACTGTAAGAACTCACGGGCGCCATATTTTATCATCAGTGCAAATTCCTATCTAATTTCCCAGTTCCTCCTTCTCTTTCGTAGATACTCACATGCTAAATATGGAAGGTCTCCTTCCCTGATGCAGGCTAACACAGACAAATTCAAACTTTGCTGTGGAGGGGCCTGCAGGGGACTGGTTTCCGGGACACGTGGCTTATGCAGTCGCCCACCCATGGCCCCATGCTCAGAAGGGCCCTGTGTTTGGTTTTTATGCTCTGTTGTGGCCATCCCAAAATTTGTAGTTAATTTTTGAACACAGGGACTTGCATTTTTATTTTGCACTGTGTTCCTCAAATTAGGCAGTGGTCCTGGGCAGCTGCTCACCATTCAGTGGAGACTCAGACTCTGAACTTCGGTTTAGAGATAGTTTACTAGACTATGCCTGCTTTTTCTTGAGTCTGTTCTTGAGGTTCACATTAACAATATCTAAACTTCCCTTAAACATTTCTCAATATCTGGTAATAAGATACTAAATTTAAATATGATTTCTATTATAGGAGTAGAGTCTATAAATTTGTAGGAATTCTGTAACATTTTATTATTATTGACTTTTTAGATACTAAGTCAATTTTGGGATTTAAAAAAAAAATCACATTTGTTAAGGGATTTCCTCCTGTCAAAGGTGGCGAACGTTTATTTGGAACCACATTAAATCTGATTCATTTGTCAAACACAAATGGAGGACCCATTCAGTGCTAAGCACAAGGGCCATAAAAATAGAATCATGCCTGTCCCTGTTTTCTAAGATCTCATAATGGACCTAGGGTGACAGATGCAGAGAACAATGATTTCTGCCTGGGGGGCTTGGAGACAAAGTAGGGGAAGAGATTAAATATCATTTAATAAATGCAATACTGCACAGAGGGCCTTGGTGTCTGTGAAGACACTGGGGATGTACTTTAGGATTTGAATCATTAAATCCTGGTCAAACTTGTGTTTTGACTCCTGTTTTATCACTTTTTTTCTCCCATGCGTTTAGCCTCAGCACCCCAATCAGATGAAGGCTCCGACATTGACTCTGAACCAGATTTGCCACTAAAGAGAAAACAGCGCAGGAGCCGAACCACTTTCACAGCAGAACAGCTTGAAGAACTGGAACGAGCTTTTGAGAGAACCCACTACCCTGATATTTATACCAGGGAGGAACTGGCACAGAGGGCGAAGCTCACCGAGGCCCGAGTCCAGGTACTGACTCTAAACATCCACGCCCTGATTAAATCCGGACAGGAAACCAAACAGTGTCTTCTCATCTAAGGCAGATTTTATTTCATTTTATTTTTTAAAAAGATTTTATTTATTTATTTGAGGGAGAGAGCACGAGCACGGGGAGGAGCAGAGGGAGAGGGAGAAGTAGAGGCAGAGGGAGAAGCAGACTCCCCACTGAGCAGGGAGCCTCATGCGGGACTCAATCCCAGGACCCTGGGATCATGACCTGAGTTGAAGGCAGACGCTTAACCCACTGAGCCACCCAAGAGCCCCTAAAGCAGATTTTAAACCCAGAGAATAAATACGTTAGGAACGGTACCTCACTGTGAATTTGTAGCCTTTAGTGGCATAAAGTTCCCACCATGTTCTCTCTAGTGCTTTTTTTTTGTCTTTTGCCCTGTCCTGATGGCACTATTGTGACCTCTTTTTAATTTTTATTTATATTTGCCTGATCACCCCCATTGAATGTCTTTTGTTTTAGGTGTGTCTATTATATCCAGCAGTATTTTACTTTGCTAACCAGTCAGACTATTTTTTTTTTTTCTCAGTTAACAGGTGGGTAAGTCAAATTGAATTTATCGATGTGATCAATATGTTTGGCTCCCTTTCTGTCATGTTGTTGGATATAAGTATTTTATGTGGATAGATTTTAAAATGATCTATTTATTTTCTTTGCATTCTTAGGGTTTTTTTTGTTGTTATTTACAAAAATGTGCATTCTTATTTTAGCCTTTGGTTATCATAATTAGGAGAATACGATTATATCAGATAAAACACCCAGTAGTGTGTCAGTTCCTGTTGTTCACTCCCCATTTCAGGAATCCTTGTTACATACCAGGCACTATATGGACTTCAGGGGTGGTACACAGATAATAGCAAACAAATTATGAGTGTTCTCCTTGGACCAAGCACTGTTCTAAGTGCTTTACATGAATTAACCCATTTACTCATCATTAAAACTGTAGGTTGGTACTATTATTATCCCCAATTTATTTGTCAGACTATTGAAGTAACTACCCAAAGTCCTAAAACTAGTCAATGATAGACATAGCTGGATTCTATATACTTGCTCTTGATGGCCTTTCAATTATGAGGGTGGGCAAAAGTGTATAAAGAAAAATTCCTTCTAAAGGTGTTGTAGTCCTGAAGCATTTCAAGTAACTATATTATTTTAGGAATAGTTTGAATTATCTTCTGAACTTTTAGAAGTAGCCTGAACTCTCTGGAAAGACTACTTTGGTATAATAGTTTTCTATTGATTGATAGAGTAATGTTTTCCTTATTAATAAAGATAGTAAAACACTGTTTGAAGGCTTAAAAATGTATTAGGGTATCCTGAAACTCCTTAAGTTACCTTATCATCGTCAAAGTGAGGCTGGAGACTCAGCAGTGAACCAGTCAGTTGATATGGTCTCTAGATTGATCATTGCTTTCTCATATGCAGCTGATTACCTCTCCTATTCTAGGTTTTTACAGAAATAGCCTCTTCCAGGGTACAGAGCCTAGTCAGAGTGATTGTCTTATTCAACTTGACTTGCCATATATCATCATAGTGCTAAGAAAGTGAATGAATGCTAAGATGGATTAAGACAAGTCTCCCAAGGAGCTACAGTCTAATATGGTTAATGAGGTAAACACAAATAATTAAAAAAACAAACAGATATGGTAAGTACCGTAAGAGAGAAAGTGCAGTGGGAGTTGAGAAGAGGAAAGAAAGATCTTGCTGGATAACAAAAGAGGCTCACGAAGAAGGCAGATTTAGGATGAACTTTTGGAGCTAAATAGAAATTCTCTGGACAGGGAGGGTGGGGAGAGTACATTAGTAAGAGAGACTAATGTGGGCAAAAGCACAGAGAGTTGGATGCACGTGAGTTACATACCTGGTGATCTTTCATTTTTGCTCATGTCAAAGGAACAGGGAATAGTTCAGTTTGCTTGGAGGGTAGGAAGGGGGGGGTGGCGGGGAGGAATATGGTTGGAAATCTAGGCTGAGGACATCCTGTGGAGGGCTTGGGTTTCAGGTAAGGGCTCTCACAGCTAATGTGATGGGCAGTGGGCATGAATGGGTCAGGGGGGGCCATGGGAATGGAAAGGAAAGGAAAGGACCGTGGCAAAAGGTATTCAGAGGTGGAATGTAGGCATTGGATGGTGGAAGCAGGAGATGGGTAGGAGGGTGAGTGAAGAGAAGAGTCATAGATGTGTGGAGGCTTACAGTGCAGATGTTTTACAGCTGGAACTATTGACTGTCTGTTACATTGGGATACAGTGTTCCTTTCCAGAAATGACTACCGCTAACCACAAATTATGATAATTTACATACATACATTGCATGATATAGTACTATAGGTAGTGTATGTATCATGATATTATCTATAACAATGTTACAAATACTGTATATATCAAATCTAATTGCTTTTATTACAGTTCTGTGATTACCTGGTTTAAATCTGGAGTCAGATCTGTTCACCTCTCCATTCTTCCAGCAAACCTTTATGGAGTGCCCACTGCATCCGAGGATCTGACTCCTATATTTCCTGTCTGGCCAACTGCACATCTCGAGTCAGTCCTTTAGACAGATAGGAGCTCAGTTCTGCACTCAGAGTCACAAAACAAACATTGATTTTACAGAAACCAAACAAAGAGTGTGATGGAAAACTGAAAGTGTTCCATGTTGGTGTCTGTCATTCCTGCCTTTGCCAAAAACAAGGATGGGGGACAGCCTAAGTCTCAAACCCATGCAGCTTGTGCAGTGCCCAGCATTCACATCTGGCCCAATGAATGTCAGGGGAGAATAAGAAAGGCCCATTAAGTTGCAGAGGACATGGGCTCAAACCAATAAAGCGTGGTTCATATTTTTCTATACAGTGACCTCCTCTCCAAAGCAGGGCCCTCATTAACCTAACAGCTGTCCTAATGTGGCTTTAACCCGGTGACTCTTTACATTCCTTATGGCTTCATTAGTTCCCTTGAGACACATCATGTCTTGCACCACAGCTATGATCTACGGCCTAACAAATTCCCTACAACACCCGGCATATGGATCTTTTACTTAACACAGCAGGAAAAAGAAGGGAGTAGTTAATCACTGATTAAAATGCCAGAACAAAATCCTTTAGTTTTTAGAAGGATCTGGGAAAGCGGTAGCAACGTCAGCTCCCTTTGAGTGATAGCCAGAAAGTGTGAGTTAGTTTAATTTGGGGCACCTGGGAAAACCAAAAACCCAATGGAAAAAAACCCTTAAACAAGTCTACATTCTTTTTTTTTCCCCCAGAGTAAAATATTTCTAAAGTCTTCTGGATAGAGATGACACTAAAGCTGTAAAAACTTAGGCCTTTGTCAGTATTTCATAAAAATTTTTTTAGCCCATAGCTCTGTTGTGTTTCTCACAGCCAAATCTGAGGACACAATCTGAGAATTATTGTACACCAAAGACTAATTTGCCTAATTCACCTCCTGGGTATTATTATGCACATAATGGCAAGCATCAACGTTTAGTGGGGAAGAATGCAAATATTTATGATGTGCAAAAGTTTTAGTAAATATTCCATCTAAGAACTCCACAAAACAGGGAAGTAGCACTCTTTTACCACCAGGATAATGGAAGACAGCAAAGGAAGCTGTTTGAGAACACAGCATTTAAGTAGGAATCAGAAGATGTGTGTTTTGGTCTCAGCTTGCCTACTCTGTTCTGCTGAGGAAGTCACTTAATTCAAAGCTGTAATCCTGCTGGCTTCAGATTTTTTTTTCTTTTAATTTTAAAATATGGGGTAGGTTAGATCAGATGATCTCAGTCTGGGTCCACAGATGAACAGGATAATCACGGATGGACTTCAAGAAATCTGGGAGACTTGAGATTTGTACACACAATTTTGTGCCTTTGCCTCTACCTGCGTGTGTGTGTGTGTGAGTGTACAAACATTAACTAGGGGGGGTTATCCCTGCCTTTGTAATATTCTCAAATACCACTGCCCCCTCTTCTATCCCCCAATTAAAAATAACTAGGTACAGGACTTATCATCAGTAATTGGAGATTCTCATAGAAGCCCAAGAGGGATTGATTGCTTGATTGATTTTAATTCCAGTACGGCTAACATGCAATGATATATTAATTTCAGGTGTATAAGAGAGTGACTCAAAAATTCTATATATTGTTCAGTGCTCATCACAATAAGTGTACTCTTACTCCCCATCACCTGTTTCACCCATCCCCCGCCCACCTCCCCTCTGGTAACCATCAGTTTGTTCTCTATAGTTAAGAGTCTGTTTCTTGGTTTGTCTCTTTTTTTCTTTGTTTATTTCTCAAATTCCACATATGAGTGAAATCATATGGCATTTGTGTTTCTCTGACTGACTTATTTCACTTAGCATTACATTCTCTGGCTCCCTCCATGTTGCTGTAAATGGCAAGATCCCATTTTTCTTTTATGGCTGAGTAATATTCCTTTGTGTATATATATATATATATATATATATATATGCCCCATCTTCTTGATCCATCTATGGATGGATACTTGGGCTGCTTCCATAATTTTGCTATGGTAAATAATGTTGCAATAAACATAAGGGTGCACATATCTTTTCAAATTAGTGTTTTCATATTCTTTGGATAAATAGCCAGTAGTGGAATTACTAGGTCGTATGGTAGTTCTATTTTTAATTTTTTGAGGAATCTCCATACTGTTTTCTATTTTTTTTTTTAAGATTTTATTTATTTGACAGAGACAGAGACAGCGAGAGAGGGAACACAAGCAGGTGGAGTGGGAGAGGGGGAAGCAGGCTTCCCGCCGAGCAGGGAGCCCTATGCCGGTCTTGATCCCGGGACTCTGGGGTCATGACCTGAGCTGAAGGCAGATGCCCAACCGACTGAGCCACCCAAGCGCCCCTCCATACTGTTTTCCACAGTGGCTGCACCAGTTTGCATTCCAACAACAGTGCACGAGGGTTCCTTTTTCTCCACATCCTCACCAATACTTGTTTCT